TATATGTAAATGTTTTTGTATATTTCCATATAGATGTATATATGTGAATATACATAAACATTTACACATATATACATATATACATATACATATATATATACATAAATATATCTATATATATATACATAAATACATATATATCCATATACATATATATATATATCTATATATATATATATGCATTTTTTAAATATGTTTAAAAATATATAGATCTTTTATATACATATATATATATACACATCTATATATGCATACATATCTATATATATATATACATATTTATACATACATATGTATACATACGTATACTCATATATATATATTTATACATTATATATATATATATACACATATATTTATGTTTTATATTTATCCACTACATTGCAACATATTTACATATGTATTTACGTAAAAATACGCAGTGTATATATACACATGTCATGATGTTATCAATTTTGGTGCATTCCAGCAATTAATGCGGAACTTAACCACAGACCACAGAAAGTCCACTTCTCGACCAATTTTGCAGGTTGGATGAGGCTGGTTCATTTTTCCTTGCCATCCAACTTGCCTTGGCGGCTAGGCGAACTATTGGAGGCATCTTATCGAAGACACGTCTCGCGGGCGCAAAGTTGCTAAGCTTAAAACGGTGAGTGAAATCTGCAGTTGTGAAAATCAGTGTGGACATGCCAGTTTCTTGATGTAAACTAAGTATGTACATGATTTTGTAGCTGTTGCGCCCAGTGCACGGCTGCAGAGTGCGAGTCTTCTTTTGCTCTTGATCAAGAGCTGCATTCATCACAGGCACGCAGGCACATTGAGTGGGAAGTCACCCTTCGAGAAGATCCGAACGCAACACGGCCTTGTTGGTGAATTGCCGGAACATTTGTTGTGTATACACGAACCAATCGCGTTCTGCCGCCTGGGAGCATTGTTGATCAGAACTAAAACAGTGCCAGGACCCCAACGGCGCTCGTATCCATGATACTAGAAATGATGGCTGCATTGTTGAAATGCTGGGCAAGAAGAAGCAACTCGGCTGCAGGATTGGCAGGTCATGTGATTGATAGATATTTGTTGTGGGTTTCTGGCTCTGTTGTATGACTAGTTGCATTTGGAGAATCGGGGTTTGACGAAGTGGGATTCTTTACCGCTCGGGACATGTTTGAACTGAATTCACCTCTTGGAGTAGGTGGGTTGGTCATCAGCATCACGACCCACTAGCGGCGCGCTGGCCCAACGGTGATCCAAAGCTCTACCATTTAAGTCAGAGCAGGACACACTGTCGATTCGCTGCCAATGTTACATTTTGTGAAAGTGTTTCACAACCATCACGCATGGGGCGCTACAAGCTAATGCCCTAATGGATGTCCCTGGTCTTTCAGGATCTTGCCAGAGGTGGATGAAGACAACAGGGAGCTGCGAAAGTCCACTCCTCATGACCAGACTCGTGGGCAACAGCCAGTGTTGAGCAGCTTCATTTGCCCGTTTCGCTTCCAGGAACAAGCAGACTCGTACTGACACCCATATTCCAGAGACACGAACGCCTCTGCGGCCGAAAGACCATGATCGCACCATGCTGTGAGATCTTGGAGCTTGATGTGATTCCGCTAGTGGTTTAATATGGTTTAATGCATTGAAACGATTAGATGTCAAAGTGGTCTCACCTTGCTCCGATGAAAAGCTTTGTCGCAAATGGTACAGACCTTTTTGAAAACAAGCAGATGCCCGTCTGATTTAAGATCGGAGCGAGCTCCGCAGTATCACCCCAGAAGGCAGATCTCAAGGATTTCTGCCTCAGGAAAAAGATCATGAGAATTGCTGCAGACGGGGCATTGCCTAAGGACTTATCATGACTCGCGATGCCATGCTGAATCTGTCATCCTTCGAAGCCAAGGGTGCTCAACAGCTTTGGAAGCACAGTGAAGGTTTGCTTTGCTTTCGAATTAAACAGCTAGCAAGGGCCAGGCGTCTTGTGAGTGCCATTACTTTTACTACTTTAGCACAAATTGGAGTCAAATTTGTTAGCGAAACCGGGATTCGTGTTTGCAACCTAGACTATCTCATGCTGGCTGCTTTCCGTGGTCTTCCACGCCTGCTGGTGCTGCTGCTTAGTTCCCTTAGTTGTTCGTGAAGAGTTCCAGTTGAAATGACCTCGAGCAATTCTCCGAGGCAGATGGTAAAGATGTGGCCTTGACCGCAAGAGCATTCGGCACAAAGCGAGTCAGGCCAAGATAAAATGGATTGGATAGGACCCAAATTTGGCAGCAGACAGGGCATGTGTTTGAAGTGTATCATATTCTGTATCATCGTGCCTTTCCGAGGAATGGGTGTTGCTTCTACTACCCATTATGGACTTTGACCCAAAGTTCCCCCCCTCGATTTTTGGAGCTTGGGTCTTGGGTCACAATTCAAAATGCAGCACCCCCACCACCCCACAGAGTTGAGATACTAAATATGTTAAGATGATTGATAGAAGTCATTCCTAGCAACCAGTGATTGCAACCACTGGTGGTTTAAAACCTTAAACAGCGCACCGTTTGACCCATCGATGAACAGATGATACATGACGATACATTGTTGCAGGCAAAGAAGGCGTTCTCGTGGGCGCATCCTACAACTGAAGGAGACTCACTACGAGCCCAAGCCTGAGGCCGGCACTGGCATGACAGATAAATAAGATATGGCAAGATATGGGAAGATACGGTAAGATATGGTAAAACATTGTAAGATGGATTGAATGGTCTTGAGCTCAATGTTTTGGAAGGATTTGCTGGTATGGACATCAGTCTGTTGAGCTGCTATGCGGGAAGAAGCCAACGACAGGATGTTGCAGTGAAGAGAAATGGAGACAGTCCAGTTGTGTAGCTGTTGCAGGGCTATCAGCCCTTGCCACTATCTTTGCTCGCTTCGGGGCCAATTCGACGAGTCTTGTCTACAAGGAGCGTAGAGGCAAGGGTACAGGGAAGTGAAGGAAACTGGTGCGAGCTGGCAACAGGTTGTGATTGTGGATACTTGTTGCTAACAGCTGCCGGTTCCTTTGATAGATGTCTATCAGTCAAAACTTCAAATTCTGGTAGCGCAAGGACCTAGAGTTATCTGGGGTCTTTCACGTTCCAATTCGAGCTATTATGTTTTTTAAAAGTTTTTCCTACCATTTCCATCCATTTCCTGCTTTTCGGAGTTGTTTGTGCAATCTGATCTCCAAGCCACGCTTTGCCGCAGAGCTGAGATTCGAGATGCCAAAAAATACATTTCAAAAGAAGAAGTAGCATAAGAAATTCATTCCTCCTGGATGTAGCCAGATGTCTTCCACATAGCATAGCATGTGGAGGTGTCCAATCGATGGGGGTACCCCAAAAAATGTAAAAAAAGTTGATTCAGTGAAGTTTTCTAAACTAATATCATAGCAGTATAACAAATCAAAATTTATTCATAAAAAAAAAACATAACAGTCCAAAAAGCCAGTTTATATATTGTTAATTGCTTCATTTTTCTCAACAATATCAAAACATAATTACCTCATTCAATTTTTCAAAATCATAGCAGTCAAAGCATACTTACCTCATTCAATTTTTCAAAATCATAGCAGTCAAAGCATACTTACCTCATTCAATTTTTCAAAATCATAGCAGTCAAAGCATACTTACCTCAGTCAATTTTTCAAAATCATAGCAGTCAAAGCATACTTACCTCATTCATTTTTTCAAATTCATAGCAGTCAAAAGCATTATTACCTTATTCATTTTACAAAATCCTATCCATCAACCGTTCCTAAATTCCTTTTATTTGTAATGTATGTAATTCATCAGTGAAGGCACAATGTTATTCAAGACATTTAAAAACAGAGAAGCATAAAAGGAATTTAGGAACGGTTGATGGATAGGATTTTGTAAAATGAATAAGGTAATAATGCTTTTGACTGCTATGAATTTGAAAAAATGAATGAGGTAAGTATGCTTTGACTGCTATGATTTTGAAAAATTGACTGAGGTAAGTATGCTTTGACTGCTATGATTTTGAAAAATTGAATGAGGTAAGTATGCTTTGACTGCTATGATTTTTAAAAATTGAATGAGGTAATTATGTTTTGATATTGTTGAGAAAAATGAAGCAATTAACAATATATAAACTGGCTTTTTGGACTGTTATGTTTTTTTTTATGAATAAATTTTGATTTGTTATACTGCTATGATATTAGTTTAGAAAACTTCACTGAATCAACTTTTTTTACATTTTTTACCCCCCCCTTCCACCAGGCCAAGCGCTTGGCTGGCTCCATCGACTGGGAACGCTACAAGTGTGATGTGAAGGTTGACGGAAAGCCGGTTTTGCAGGGCAAATCAACAAGGAGATAATGGTGATTACCTCAAATTTACATAATATTACGATGTCTTACGATGTATTGCCATATATTTACCTGCTTTTACTCGACATGCATTTGCTGTAGATCTTACCTCATCCACCGGAGAGTCAGACAAAGAACAGACTGGTGGCAGGTGTGGACCGTCATGTCTACACATGAACATGAATCTTGCTAAAGTGGGAGAAAATATGATCACCTGTGAGAGATTTTGCGATCAGTTCGGGTTTTCACTCTGTTCCTGTCCCTTCTGCAACTGGACACAGTAGAATTTGAAAATCATTGTATTTGAAGCTTGATGTATATATGAGGAAGTGAGTTCATGACTTGCAGTGTTGGATAATTCAGCATTAAGACCAAACTTGTTCGCTTGTCGCTTCCATCATTTTCTGTTGGTTGACTGCAGAATTTGAACGGTGTTTGGCAAACCCACTTTTTGCGAGGGTGTCCGCTGGCATGCTTGTGGTCAGGATCCAAGTGAGTCGAAGCTTGTAACACGGTGGTGCTGAGTTTTTTTGTTTTATGCCTTGATTCAAATATATTCAAATGGCAGCTTTCTGCATGTCAAGGATATCAATTGGCTGTTAAGCAGCTGGACTGCATCATTGTTGAACCTGAACCGGCGTGCTCAAGCTAGAGACACTAGGGTAGTGCACATGGAGTTGTCCCAAAGGCACGGTCCGTAGATTTATCGCCTGTCCGTTCTGCGATGGGAGATTTGGAGTTCACCACTGGATGGCTCCGAGAAGAGGATGTTGCTATCCATGAGGAGGATTCAGAAAGAAACGCGGAGCAAGCTGAACGAAATGCCTCGATGAGGTCCATGTTGAAACGCCGAAGGGAGGAGACCAAAGACACATCAGCAGCTGAAGCTCCTGAAGCTTTTATGGCTGTGAAGAATTCGGTGAGCTCTCGAAAAAGGGTGGTTGATGAGGGACAACCACCATGGTTTGTTGCTCGTCCTCACATAGAAAATACCGTTCTGCGTTTGCATGAAGAGATCTTGGACTTTGTGGACTTTATGCAGCAGACCAGGGAGGAGATTCATGCTCGAAGGAAATGGGTACAAAGCATCAAGGAGGCCTGTGTGGCCTTGTGGCCAGCTTGCAAGGTCTCTGTTTTTGGCTCGTTCTTCACAGGCCTTTCACTTCCCAATGGTGATGTGGATGTGGCTGTGTCAGAAATACCTTGCAAGTCAGGTTCTGCTATGAAAATGCTGGCCGACCACATGCTGTCAAAGGGGCAGATCAGTTGGCTAGAAATCATCGAAACAGCAAAGGTTCCTGTGATGAAGGTGCGATCGCAGTCCTCTGGGCTTCGGGCCGATGTAGTCTTCAGTCAGCCTGATGGTTTGCAATCCTCAAAGTTCATTCGGTCCAAGGTGAAGGAATATCCACAGATGAAGCCGCTACTTCTCTTCCTGAAATATTTCCTTCTTCAACGTGGGCTGCATGAAACCTACACAGGTGGCATGGGTTCCTACTTGCTTTGCAATGTAGTGCTCCACTTTTTGCAAAGGCACCCTTCGTTGAAGAACGGCCGTTTCTATGCCGGAACCTCACTTGGCCACTTGCTTTTTGACTTCTTGAAATACTACGGTCAGGAGTTCAACTACACATCGCATGGCATCTCAGTGCTTGAAGGAGGTTCGGTCTTCCCCAAGACGGAACGCTTCCCTGAGAAGAACAAGCGAAGTACCGGTGGTCCAGTGCTTTGCCTTGAATCCCCGCTGTCCACTTCCATGGATCTTGGAGGAGCTTGTTTCCGCATGCCTGTTTTGCGGAATCTCTTTCATCATGCCTTTCATTGCATTTGCCATTTGATGGTGACAGGATCCGCACCAGAGGTGTCAATGCTGTGTCCGCTTCTGATCGATCCAGCTCATCCCGTGATCACTGATCGGTTCAAGCTGATGGCTGAGCAGCCGGTTGCCTTTGCCGGGCTTCCAAAATCAAAATCACAGGAGATGGAGAAGAAACAAAAGAGGCTTCCTAACGAGAATGGCCAGGCTCACGACAGTCACAACGACACCAAGCCGCCAGTGAAAAAGCGAAAGATTCAGCCAACTCAGCCGTTGACCCAACCAACTCAGCCAGTTCAACCAATCCAGAGAATACATGAGGAAGCGGATGATGCTACTGCGGCCTTTGGTTTCCATGAGGATGTTTCACAATGGGATTTGGTCTAAAAAGAGATTTGGCACGCTATTTCATTGGAACTGCGCTTTGCAGACTGGTCTGCAGTTGCTTTGCCATCTCATATTTAAAGAATCAGGAAGTATTCATCGGCATTGAGCCGCAAAGGTGGATGGCGGGTTCTCTTCAACAAGAAGGATTTCGAGCACAACTTCTTTGTAAAGCCTGGCGCTCAAAGATATTCGAAGTCTTCCAGCTATTTCCCTTCAGATTTGATTCGGCGAGGTGCAGCTGCTACTTCAGGGTTGCCATCTATGGGACTGGTGCTTACTATTGCATGTACTTGTTTGTTGCATGCAGAGTAGAGAGTCCTGTCGCACCCGCTTCATGTGAAGATATGCTTGCAATTTTTAAGGCCTCCAAAAATGACAGGCCACACCATTTCAATTGGCAGACGAAAGGACTGCAAGCTGACTTGCAACTTCATCGCAACACAAGGTTTGACCGCTCCAAAGAGCTGGCCATCGCCTATCGAAAGCGGCTACCTTGGTCAATCTGGGCTTCGGAGTACACGAACTACTAGTTACGATTAGTTGCTATTAGTTACTATAGGTTGTCGGGCCAGAACCAAGGCGCTTAGAGGCCGAGTGGGAGGAGCAACAGCGGATTTGGGCCTTTGGCTTAGTTTTTGAATGTTTTTGATCTTAGATGAATGGCCTTTCGAGGCCTTTCGTATTTGGTAATCGTGTGGAGCGCCTCTTTGCCCGAGGCTGAACTAGATCGAAGGCGAGAAGAAGAAAAGGCGAAGAGGCACGCTTTGACTGAGTGTAACCCCAAAAAAGTGTTAGGTTTCCCAACAAAGATGGCAGGAGTGACTTTCGAACCATACTGCCATTGCCATAGGCGTGCTGAGCGAGCCGAACAAAGCCTGAAGGCACTCCCTGCACCAGCCCTTTTTTTTGCAGAACAGCATGTATCAAGAGGAGTACTTTTGACAGGACGCGAGCACAGCAACTTCGGTCCTGGCCCCAGAAAAACTTCTTTCTCCAACGAATGCAATCACCTCCCGAGGGCTGTGGTAGTACCCACCACTAGATCAGATAAAGCGACAGCACTGAGGAATTGTCAGAGAGGTCAATCTTTTGATTTGCCAGAAAAAAGTGCTGCATCATGCCTGTGTGGTCATAGTTTGTGGTCATGATTACTCGTACTGCTTCTCACAGGTTAAGCGCTGAAGCATCAGTAGACGTGGCGTGCGTTGTCGGAAAGCTGTTTAAGCTCAAAAGATGTCCAAGATCTGAGTCCAGAGCACCATGTTGAACATGGATTACTGAAAAACACCACCTTTTCAAAGGAAAACAGAAGATCGTTTGCTGGCAGCTAGAGGAATAAACTTGTCACATCTCGTCACAGACTTTGTTTCAATGCTTGCCTGCTTCATGGCACCCGTGTCGGCGCTACAGAAACACGTTGACCTTGGCCAGTGTTGCAGACATTTCCTGGCGTATTTTGGTGTCAAGTAAACGTGACATGGATGAACAGCTGCCTTCCCACATCGCCGTGCAGGTGATTGGTGCTATCACTGGAGATTTACTTTGCACAGTAGAAGCAGATGGCTGTTGGTGTTTGCAAGATCTCAAAGAAGCAATTCGAGCTGCATGTGCCATTCCGACACACGAACAAAAGCTGCAGATTGCAGGAAAAGCTTTTTGCAAGGAGAGTCAGAGATTGGCTGACTTCTTGCATCAAGTAGAGTGTACACACAAGCCAGTCTCAGTGGAACTCATACGTGCTGATGCCAAACGTACTGCTGCTCTGGAGCACGTGGCAGTTGGTGGTTCTCTGACCCATTTGGAAGAAAGTTATAGAGGTGATCCCGAACTCGTGCTCGCGGCCATCAAAGCAAATGGCGGAGCATTTCGGTATGCCTCGGAAAGACTAAGGAGTGATCGGGATTTTTTACTGACAGCCATTGAAAGAAGCTGTGATGTGCTATGTCACGTAGGAGATGAATGGAGGTGCAACCGAGAATTTGTGCTTGAGGCCATCCGCCGCACTGGCACTGCCTTGTGCTATGCAGCAACAGAGCTGCGGAGCGATCGAAATTTTATTCTGTCTGCTGTCGAGAGAAATGGAACGGCACTTTGCTATGCCGATTTAGAGCTGCGCAGAGATAGAAACTTTGCCCTGGAGGCTGTGCAACGAAGTGGCCTGGCGCTGCGCTATGTGTCAGAACAACTTCAGCTTGACCGAGATTTTGTGTTGCTTGCAGTGCAACTGAATCCAAGCGCACTGCGGTACGCAGAAGAAGAATTTCGAAGCGATCCGGAGCTCGTGTTGGCTGCTGTTCAAACTGATGAGATGACCCTTGGCTTTGCAACAGAGAGCCTGCGATCGGATGGGGCCTTCGTTCAAAGGGCACTGCAGCGAAACAGCGCAGCCCTTCCTTATGCCGCAGAACACTTGAAAGAAAACCGGCGCTTTCTGACTGAAGCTCTAAAGGTTCCAGGTGTTCTCAAACATGCTGCAGAGGAAGTTCGTCGAGATCGGGAACTTGTGGTATTAGCCATCGGAAGCGACGGAGCAGCCATGTGCTACGCAGCGCAGTCTTTGCAGCAAGACATGGCCTTTGTCCTTGAGGCTGCTGCAGCCAATCCGGCGTCTCTACAATACGTTGTTGATGACTTCTGGCATCAGAAGGATTTTGTCATGAAAGCCGTTGAGGCAGCTTGGTGCACATCACATTACCTTGGCCAGTTGGGTTTCAAAATGGGTACCCCCAAAATCCACTGGTGAAATTATCTTCATTCATGTTCCGTAGAAAGGTTGCCGTTTTGGGGTATACCCCATTTTTAAAAACACCAATTCTACTCGTTTGGTCTCTGCAGCGTTTCGTTTTCAGTGCCTTGCAGGTGACTGGCATGGCACTGTGGTTCGCAAGTCCGGAAATTCGACGCTGCAAGGACTTCGTGATTTCTGCTGTGCGGAGGACGGGGGGCATTACAGGAAGTATACCATTGCTATACTAGACTGTACTATATATATATATTATACCATACCATACCATGCCATACTGTACCATGCCATGCAACTGCCTAACATTTTCATTGATTGGGAGTGTTTGTCGGGTTTGACACTCCCTGCACCAAATATTCTCTGAAACTCCTCACCTGTCCTTTCTCCTGCTCCCAGGAACAGTTCTGCATTGAATTTTGTCCCAGAAGAGCTTCGCTGTGATCGCGAGGCCACAAGTCATACAAGTCATTCTCCATGCATGTGATGATAGAAATTTTCTCATCTCGAGACTCGAGACTTCGGCAGTTAGAATTTGTGCAGGTGGTCCTATCCGCCGTGCAGGGCAGCAGCCAGGTTCTGAAAAAGGTTGATGAGGCCGCCTAGTTTGAGCCTAGTGCTTGATTTTTTGTGAAAGCCACGCTGCCACGGGTCATGGGAAGGGCTTGGCGAAAGACCGGCTTTTCATTCTAGCGGCTGTGCAGCGCAACGGTGCAGCGCTTGCCTATGCAACTGGGCAGACTGGAACTCTGGGAGCTGCAAAAAAAAACAGGTGCCAGGGTATATGTATACTATAATTGTTATTATACATAAATATACATAAATACATAATGAATAGAAAGATAAGAATATATACTAGTATATATATATATATACACATACACGCATACATACATACGTACGTACGTACGTAAGTACGTGTATATATATATATACATACATACACATAATTAGATTATATTATATTGTATTGTATTGTATTATAGTATATTATATTATATTATACTATATTATATTATATTAATATAATATAATATAATATTATATTATACCATGTTATATTATATTATATTATATTATATTATAATCATATGATACAATGTGTATATATATATATATATATACATATATATATATATGTATAATTATATAACTATATGTGTACATTATTCTAAGACGTTTGGTGCCAATTTGGAGTCAGTTGCGTTGACCAGCTTTGGAACTAGCGATGGTTTTAGAGAGGTGTGTTTGTCCCCCTTCCCGGATTTGTTGTGCTCCACTCTGATTTTGCTGTGTCAATTTCGATGTTACCCTGGCTAATGGAAGCTAGTGCAAGTTAAAGGGCATGTTTTTGGTACTGGAGTAGACTTTGATAAACGTGCTATCATTTGACAAGAAAGACAGCCGCTCTGAATGAGCTGTTGGCTTCAGATTGTGCCAAGGCAGAAAGTAGCCTTCGGGCAGACCCCGAGGTACGCGGTTGCAGTCGGTGTTTCTCTTGCATTTGCTGATGCAAATATCTTCCGTCATTGGCAAGTTGTGCCTCCCAATCGCCCCCGATTCCCAACCTTATCCTTGACAGGTGGTTCTTGCTGCGGTGCAAAGCGCCGGGGACCTACTCGTAGCTGTTGAGTCTGTACAGATTTGTACATGGCGCTCATTTGGGGACACTGACACCACAACCTTTGGACATCTTTGGAGGATGGCACTGCCCTTTCCCATGCTGCAGCGGTGCTCCGCCTAAGAAGTCTTGGTTCCAGAGAGTCGGAACAGTGTTGATGAAAAATGATGAAGAGCTGTTTCAGGTACTGCAAGCAGACCGAAATTTTGTACTGTCTGCAGTTTGTGCCCTCCTGAGATTTCCCCGACCTTGCCCACAGCATGGTTCATTGCTGACATGTTGCTATCGCGCTGTGATGCCACCGGCGGCTATAAGGTCGAAACAGCAAGGCCAGTGAATCGGTTTGTCGGTGAATTGTCGGGTGTGATTTTTTGGTTGACATGGAGCAGTTGCAAAGATGGAGGCATTCTTGGTTGTCGTCAGGCTCTCAGGAAGATGTGAACTACATCGGAAAGCACAAAATGATAAGTATGATAAGTCAATGCTGCAATATCCGAGACTTCAAACCGGTTTGGTGAGATGAGAGGCCCCGGAATGGCAGAGTGACTACAATTTCGCACTAGATGCAGTGACGAGGCTGCGAGCACTTTCCATTCACTTTACATTACTGTAACTGTCCATTCACACAGATCTTCACGGTGTTTTTCTAAAATGAAAGTCGCTGTGACAGCTCTGCAGGAATGCATCTGCACTTCCCCTGCTGTCGCCTCGCTTTCAGGAGGAGATGAACATGTCACGATCACGATATGTCCAGATTTTCCACTGAACATCAAACGCAAAAAGTGCATGTCTTGCACATCATGCAGCAGTTGCTTTCCAGACCTTGAGGACCATGAGTTTCTTCTGGCAGCTCTGGCGCGGAACGGTGACACTCTCCGGTATGTAGATGAGTCGCACTGCCACGTATTTCAGGGCAGCTGTGCTGAGTCACCCAAGTTGTTTTGAATTTCAGGCAATAGGAATAAGCACGGTCAAAAAATCCGAATCCACAAAGACAGAGACCATGGCAGACTCAGTAGACTAGACATGACTAGACTGCTTTTGTTACGTTGACTTATGTAACATTGACTAGACAGCAGCTTGAGAATTGGGAACGTGTGATTTTCAGATACGTTTCAAAATATGGGAAGATATGCATCATTAAGAACGGCCACCTCTTCATCTACGATATCGACATTTAAATATGTGGAGGGCGGGCCAGACCGCGAGGCCCCGGAGGTAGTATGAACATGTAGGAAATACCAGTTCCATCCATATATTTAAATGGCTGGGCCCGTTCGGCAGATTTAAATGTCAGTACAGTGGAATCATTAGATAAGAATCGAATAAGATGTTTTCAACCTACCTTGGGGTTCTTAGATGCTATAGACGTACATATATATATATATATGGATTGTGAACAGCGCATCCTCAAAATCTGAAAGGGTTTGTTTCGCTGGGTGGAACATTAATCTCTTTGGGTGGAAGAATGGGGGTTCATGGGAATTTCCTTGGGTGGAATTTCTTTCAGGGCCCTGCCTTGACTGAATCCTGTCTGGGTGGAACCCCACTTCATATTGTGCAGGCAACCCTTGCACAGTATTATAAAATTATTGTACAGATGCATTCGCAGAGACTAGCAACCCCGGGTTACTATTGCTAAGCTTAATCTGTATGTTTAAGTGACCGGGCGAGCCACGGAAAACTTCCTCGGACGTAGTCTAAAAATGTCTAAAATACCAGTTCGTAAATTTAATTTCCGTATGTTTAAGTGGCCGGGCGGGCCAAGGAAAACCTTCCCGGAGGTAGTCTAAAATACCAGTTCGTATATTTTTTAAAAAAAAATCCGTATGTTCAAATGTAGGCACCGTACATTACAACACGATACAACACGTATATACATCTTATCTGGTGGAAGAGAGTGGATGGATGATGTTTTCTTCTGCGGATCCATTTAGGAAGACAACGCTACAGGTCCTTCCAGAACGACCAGCAACTGATTCTGTCGGCAGTTGAGTCTGTCTAAGTCTCAGTTCCTTCGGCCTGGGCAGAGTAGTGTCAACGAAATAGTCCATGGCCGGTGCGGAGTTGTAGTTGTGAAGCTTAAGTCTTCAATTGCATAATTCCTATTCAAACCATACTAAGAGGGGTGATATCATATTATATCCCAACTTAATGAGGGTTTTTCCGAAATTTCCGAGGGTGATAGCCATGTTTTTCACCCAACTGCAAGCCCAGTGGCCGCCAGTGGCCCAGTTGTCGCTGTGCCATGCGACCGACGTAAGGATAGTGCGGCTCTCCGCTATGTCGACGAAACTTTGCGCGGAGATCGTGATTTTGTCCTGGGTGCGTTGCAACGGAACGCTGAGGCTGTTGACTTCGCTGGATTTTGAAACGGATACCAGGGCCCCAAACGATAGCTGAGTGGGTTTATAACTCCAAATACTAGGGTTTATAGATATTTATATATTTATATATGGATATTTATGGATGCTGATGGCAATTGCAACTATACTTGGTCGGCCTTAAATACCCAGCAAACATAACGCCTAGCTTGTCCCAAGGCCACCTGATACCACCTGATACCACCTGTGGCTCTGGAGGTCCTTCCCTATGTTGTGGACACTTTGCAAGAGGCAGCTCAGCTCCACTTCGAAAGCATTGGACGTCTCATTCAATTAGGATAATTAGTGTACTTGAGCCAATTGAATAATTATCCTAATTATAATCATTATTCTTCCACTTCTTCATTCAAATCGTGGTAGTTCAACGTTCAGAGCCAATGTACTTGAGTCTAGGATCCGGAGTTCATGTTGGAAGCTCTTCGACGGAATTTCTGGTCTCAAACTCAAAACAGTACTGATATGTACTGACCCATGCTTGTGCCACTTTGAACAGAGCAAGAGCAAATACATCATCATGAGAATCAGGAAGACCAATCTTCAACCCAAAATAACCAAAATATCCCCAAATACTTTAAGTTTCTGCAATTCCCGGGTGAAAACCATTTGCGATTCGTTGGCTTTGAAAAAAACTGGTCTGCTGAGGGTACTCAAAAATGCAAACCCTGCCCTTCGGCGACTACCTCAGTTGAAAATCAGGAGTAGTGTGGTATGAATGGGCGAGGTGTGTTTCACCAGGAATGGACTTCTTTGTGATGGGGCTGCCCACGAGTGAACCACAGCTGATGATAAAGTCCGGTGTCACCAAGGCACAATTCCGGCTTCATGCTGAAGGCTTTGAATGCGAACAAAGGCACTCTGCAGCTGGTTGGCTCTGAATTATGGGAGGACGGCACGGGCGCGGACAAATCTACCAAAGAATCTTCCAGAGCTTGACTTAGCCCCGTGGCTTCTGTATCTTCTGTCAGGACCGAAACTTTGTCTTGCAGGCGGCCTACCATATGACTTCACCATACTTCACCATACTTCACCTTTCAGACTCTTTCAGACTCTTTCAGACTCTTTCAGACTCTTTCAGACTCTTTCAGACTCTTTCAGCTTTCCATTGGATTTCCATTGGATTTCCATGCTTTACTTCCACTACTTCCACTGATGTCGGAGGCAACGAAAGTCTTCGGGGAAGCACTTCGCTTTGCCTCCGATGACCTGCAGCAGGTGCCAGAGCTTGTAGACAGGTTGCATATGTAGTATATAATATTATAATAGATTATATAAGTACGTAGTACAAAAAGGTGGCTTTTTGATGTATTATATAGGTAGTGTACATGTAATGTTTAGGTAGTGAATAGGTTAGGTTATCAATAGCTCTTGTCCCCTGGGTCTGGGTGAGGGTTATATGGTAATACTTTGTTTATAGGCAGTATATATATATATATATATAGGTGAATATACATATATCACATAGGCGATAGGTAGTTTATCAATGGCTACAGGGTAGTATATAGGTAGTATGTAGGTAGTATATCCGGAGTATATGTGTTGTATATGTATATCGGTTGTTTGTAGGTTATATATATATGTATAGTGTAGTATATAGAGGCAGTACATGGGTAGTATGTAGGAAGTGTATAAATTATTTAATAAATACGATATAGAAGTCTATGTTTAGTATATAAAGGCTGTATGTAATTTATAGTATATTGGGAGTATAGAGGGAATATACACGGAGTATATCGGTACGATACAGAAGTGCAAATCTAGTGTATGACTGCGTGATAGTATATGGGGAGCGCGTTTCACTGAACCATATTATATGTATATGATGTATACATATATATATATATATGATATATATATATATACAACCCCCTTGTTGACAAGTATGCTCGCATTTGTTAGTTTTGTCCTGTCCTTGGATACCTGCTGGCCGTGTAGGACAAAGCCTTTATCACGAAGGTCGTGCAAGGGAATGGTATGGCCCTTCCTTTCGTCACGAACCTTTCCCAGAATGAAGAGGTGCAGAGCGCTTCCGTGATTACAATGTCACAAAGAAAGGACCTCATATTGTCGTGTGTTGTTATTTTTTATATATGTGACATGTCCAAAGGCACTATGAAATACAATGAAATATGCAATCATCCCAACATCAGAAGTTCAGTTGTTTTTGCACCAATTCTTAGAGTAAGCTTTTGCTGTACTCACCTTTTGAATCGATTGCACAGTGTGAGAAAAAGCGTCAATGTTGGAACATGTTTGAATTTGCGCACCGTGCGCAACTTGCGGGGCAGGTGGCACTGGCAGCCGTACGAAGCCGTCCTGAGGCAATGCGATACGTTCACGAGGTCCCGATCAGATCCCAGCTGGCTGATGCTGCCGTGAGGGTTGGATGTGAAACGATTGCGACTCGTGTTGTCAGACTTTTCTATGACCCCTCAAGTGCAAGCGTTTCAAGTGTTTCTCCATGACATGAAGTATATATTATATAGAATATATTGAATATGTTTGGAACATTTTGGAACATGTAATTTTTGGAGGTTTCAAGCCTTATGCAGTATTGGTTTGGCCTAGCATGTATTTCTCTCAGTGATTGCCTTGCCGCAATTGCCAGGACTGTCGACGGAGCAGAACATTCATTCTGAAGGCTGTGAGCAGGACGCGAATCCTTTGGCTCCACCTGTGTTTTGTTTTGGAGAAACGTCCGCGATTTGGAGGACCGGGGCTTCTTTGGCTTACGTTCCTCAACAGTTCCGGAAGGACCGGGAGGCATCGCCCCGGGCGGATCCATTGTGTGTTACAACTTTCTTTAAGACTTGGATAATGTGAAATAAGCCTCAAGATCCCCCAACAGCGTTTTAGGTTTGACGTGAAAACATGTGAAAACTATTTTTCCTGTTCAACTTGGAGCTGACGCTGTGGAGGTGAACATTCAAATGTTTGTGTAGAAACTATCCCTGTTTATTGATTATCTATTGATTATTTATTGATGATTTATTGTTGATTTATTGATGATTTATTGTTGATTATTGGTTGGGTTTATGGGATTCTTGAAACCCAGAGTTGGAATACCTATCAACCAACTGGGATAGTGGTCTTTTTCGTGGCTCATGTGAGGTGGTGCTGGCAGCAGTGCAAAATGACGGAGTCGCCTTAGCTTATGCTGCCGCCGAGCTGCAGAGCAGCCGTGAGGCTTTGGCCGTGGGTGCTGGGCGAGGCGATATTTTTTCCAAATGGATTATATAGAGATATTGGAGACCACTAAAGTATAGCTCAAGTCCCAAGCTAACCAGGCTTTGATCCAGGTGAAGATTCAGCATTTCCTGACGTGTGACCTAAGCGATATTTCAAAACAGATGCTGTTTCAAACAGACTATGTTTGGCAGTTTTACGTGGAACACATGGAGAGGACAACAGCTCTTGTTTCTTGTGGTGGTTCATGTTCGAAAGCATACAACTACCTCATGTGTACAAGTGAGCGACCTGCTACCAACACCACTTTGGCAGGTTGCCCTGGCAGCAATTGAACGAAATGCAAACGCTGCTGTGGAGCCGAGCTTGTGGCAGGTGATGCCAAGAGCATCAAAGTGTTTCACAGATTATCACAGTATGTGCTCCATTTGGCCTTATTCTGTTGTTTCCGATCGGCATTTGTGAGACCAAGCCACATATTCTTTGACGCCCCATATTATATGAATATTCACATCAGGAACCGTTCTGTACTCATTTGCCAAATATTTGGAAGGAAATTGGAAATCTGGTTCTGAATTCTGAATATGTTCTGGAGGAACGTGACTTTGCGCTGGCTGCCATCGAGAGAAATAGTGAGGCGAGCAGTTGCCTTGAGCTGCCTTAAGCATCCAACCCCAAGTAGATTGTCGCATAATACTTTCCGCCGAAATGTGTAGGACCTTAGTTTTATTTCTACAGGCCAGACTGCAATTTGTAGCATTCAATGTGACTAGATATCAAGTCCAGGATATTAGCTCAGTAGCTCTTGCTGCAATTTCTTTCCCAATAAACTGAAAGCAACAAGCAGTCCTAGCAAGGCCTCCAGATACGTTTTTCTATCAGCTTGAAGAATTGCTGCGCTAGGCGGTACTGCATTGCCCTCAGGATTTTCAGGAGGCCGCGCAGCACTTTTGTTTGGCAGTAACAACTTGCACCAATGTGAATTCTACTGTAACTGAGATTTTCTACGATTGCGCCCAGATCACTAAACCTTGCTCTAGGATCGTGGATTCCTCTACGATGCGGTGCAGAGGTCTGTGCTTCATTGCATCAACGGATCGACCATGACCGATCGAAGCTCTGAGCTTGACCAACTTTATTCCAAAGTGAAAGACTAGTCATGGATCTCGACAGGAATGGAGATGCCTTGCGTTTCATGGATGAAATATACCGTACCTCGGCTGGAGAGGGTTTTTGATAGCTGGAAAGCAGTTTTTGAAGTCAATCTGCCTTTTGAATATACAGAACTCACTGCAAGCTATCCGTGCAAAATCTGTGAACAACCTCAGCAGAGTGGAGTTTGCTCAGATGCTCAAGCCAACCTGAAATGCCCTGGAAACAAGCAGCAGTGCTAGGTTCGAATGTTGTTTGGATTTTCATCCCACAACAGGTCTGCCTTCTGTTCTTAGCTTCCAGACTCTTCCTGGATGCCTTCCCCCTGATGCTTCCGCCCAGGCTATGACCATGCTTTAGTTCTTGCGGCCATACAGAATGTTTGTCCCTCAGAGCGTGGTGTGCTTTTGGGATCTCCAAGGGTGCTGTCCTGCACAGAGAAGCCTCATTGGAAGTAGGATTTGAGCTGACAAAACCGGAAGATACGCGAAGATTTTTTGGCAGACTTTCTGCTATGAGCTAATACAAGTGCACACATGCTAAGGATGGCACTGCCCTCCGCTATGCTGGTGAATTTATGCGGCAAGATCGTCGATTTGTTCTTGAAGCCTTGCGTCAAGAGCTCAGATGGTGGCTGCTCTTCCAAATCGATTCTCAGACAGTTGAGCTGGAACTTCGACGTGTGGAAGTTTGCGTCGTGCCTATCTTTTCCTTGGGACTCGCTTAAAAGGTTCATTCTCATGCTATCTCATGCTATCTCATGCTATCTCATGCTATCTCATGCTATCTCATGCTCTAAGGCCAGAATGCAATGGCTTTGCCATATGTGCCGGAGGAGTGTTCCTGGATCCAGGTCCATTGGATTGTCCCTTCCAATTTTTTGTTTAGGAGTACGAAGTTCCGAAGCCAGCTGCAGCCTGTTGGCAAACGTTAATTTGTTGTAACATGTTGTAACGTGATGTGGTGAACAGACAATCTTTGTGGTTAACATGCGGCAAAAAGCTCGGCAGAGGTCTCATCCTCAAATCGTTCCATCCACGTTCATCAGACTTTGTCGGGGGAGCTAGTTGTGGTCATTACATGTCATTACAAATGTTGCCTTGATACGGGGTGCAGATGGGTGCAGTTAGGGCCGTTTGCTCAGCTTTTAAGTTCTCTAAGTTTTATGAAACTGAAGTATGGCAGCAAATGTTACTGCAAATCAGAGGCATGAACAACCGTCCAGGAGTTTTGGCAGGATAGATCATTCTTGCTAGCTGCTGCACGCCGTAATCCAGAAGCTCTCCTTCAGGTTGACGAGGAGCACAGCTGAAATGACAACTCAGCACTTGATGAAACAGTGGAGAACGCAATAGTGGAGATGATTTCAGCACTTCGTGAAATGCTGGGGTATCACTTTGAATCAGTTTTGATAGGTTTTGAACTCACGCTCGTGCTGAATTAATTTAATTGATACTGTCCAGGCACTTCGCAAAGACCGAAACTTCATGTTGGCTGCGGTGGGCGAGCGCGGAGAAGCACTGGCCTCTTGTGTGGTGCACTTAGCACACAGAGGGTCGTCACAAGCGCTGACCGACTGATCACCGACACAAGGCGTCCGTGCTGCTGGAGCATCAAGATTTTCTACTGCAAGCAATCGAGGCTCCCTGTTGCATGCAACATCACGAAAGTGGTGAAGGGATGTGACGGGTCTTAGTTTTCGCAGGTCAGCCCTGAAGCCTTTGCACATGTGCCTGAAGACTTGAAACAGGCAGGAAGAATAAGAATTGCTTGTTCCAAGATGTTCCAAGCCTCCCTTTGATTTTGTGGATGTTTGTGGCAAACCCAACAGAGGTACAGGCGCCATGATGTACTGTAGCAGAAGCGTCGTTTCATTTCATCCTTGACGCCAGGATGCGGATTTCGTCCCGCTCCAAGAGTTTGGATGGGCATAATTAATAGAATGACGAATTGCATCAGCTGAGTCAACTACCACCAGGCGATAAGAGGAATGTGTGATCATGTGTGTATAGATGACATAAAGCCCCTGCACTATTGGATTAGGCACTGAATATATACAATTATATATATATACATATATATATAAACATATATATATATAAACATATATATATATATTATACATATATATCATAATATGTATATTATATAAGAGTATACATATGTATAGCGGTATGTTGAACACTCAGAAAGGCAGTCTCAGCTGCAGACACAAGACAATGCAAGATAGCGGATGAACAAGAAAAGGTGTGCAAATATATATATATAGACATATAATGGTTGCTTCATGGGGTACTTGTATCTCCACAATGGATTATGGTCATCCCCAATATGTTGGGTAGATTTAGGTAGGACAATCCCCCAATAGCATCAACCTTTTGGGTTGCAGAGGTTCTGGCGGCCCTGAAGAGAAATGGGGCTGCTCTTCGCTTTGCTGCTAAAGCCTCAGTTGCCATTTCTTTCCGCAAGATGCTGACTAGGAACGAACATGAACGAAATGAGAATGAGCTAATTATGAGGTAATTAGATGTAATTAACAGGTGGCATGTGTGACTTTGAGGCTCAAGTTTTGAGCCCGTTCAAGTTCGTCAAAGTACGTGCTTGACTTTACGAAGTCGAACCGAGATCCACACTCGATGGTGTACCAGCCGGTTTTCAAACTGGCATATTTCCTTGGTACGCTTTTGGTCAGCGGAGAATTTGTTGGCGAATCTGCTTGGGATTCATCAATCTTGTTGCAGTCAGCAAAACAGAAGCAGCGGGAAGAGCACACACAGCACATCGACAAAAGCACATCGTCGAAAACGGATGTGTCAAAACTCGCTACCAATCAAGTGCCATCCTTGCCAATTGCCACAGCAGAGTTGCTTGAAATCGAGAAGAACTGCCGCACCGGTGTTTCAGTGCTGTCGGTTCCACATCAAGCCATGCAAATCGTGATCATGTCTAGCTCTTCGCCGCTGGAATTCCATGCTCTCTACAGTGAGGGCACCACAGAGACAGATGCCCCACCTGGAAGCACACACAGTGCCGCGGCAAAGGCGTGGACAGCGCTTGCTCTCAGTTCCAACAAGGCCGCCTTAACTTCGCGGAGCATGGGGCAATTGTATAGCCAGTCTTTGGCGGACATGCAAAGGAAGATGAAATCGAAGAATCTCAAGGATCCAGGAATCAATACTCTTCCTGGAGGTGTTCCCCTTTACAAAGAGCAGCAGCTGATTGGTGCTGTTGGTGTGAGCGGAAAAGTTGCAGAGAGTGACAGGCTAGCGAAGCTAGCTGAACAACTTGCGGCTGCCTGTGCCACCGGATTTGAAGCTCCTGATGCGATTCAACTTGGAACGCCCTATATCAACGTCACCAACCCACTTCCAGGCACGCTCCAACCAGCCCCAAGGAAAGGATCAGGTGCAAGTCCACCAAACCTTCCACTTTTCTTAGCCAACTTTCTGCTTGGATGAAGGAGACAGACCTCGTTCGTCAAGTGAGCAATGCTGCAAGCCATGTTGCTTAGGTGCTATTTATGCCTAGACTTCGCTTAGTTAGTAGATAGTGCAATCCACAACAGATGAATTGCCAAGCAGGTATCCTCACTTGAGGGTGTAGCCAGGAGCTTTTTAGGAGGAAAAGAGTGTTTTGTTTGAACGAGGAGAAGCTTTCCCCAATATTGCATGTCATTTGTTTGGCAATGGTATGTTTACGTCATCAAGACCAGGCATTTATGTCAATTTTTTCGGGGATTCCCCAGGAGCATCTTTTCAATTTAAGGCAGAGAAATTCCGAAAAGATCCAGCTGTGGTCTTGGCTGCCGTGCAGAGGAAGCCAGAGGCAGAGCGAAATGTGGGACCACTTAACATGAGTATGGGTCAATACCTATATAGATACATTTTTAGTGGATGAACATCCATAAATCCCAGCTATTTTGATGTGAACTACACGGGTACAACATTGGTTTTGACACACTGCCACATGTGACAACCACATGGATCATGATGGATCCGATGGATCGGTGTCCATCGTCCGCAGGCCTTGCGGCATGCGTCAGAGGACGGCTGCGAAGTTGTGCCAAGAGTCAAAAAACAAGACACTGTCCGAGACTGCAGGAGTTCCAAATCTATCCATATCTATTTATTTCGATCCATATCTATCCATCTCTATCCATCTCTAGCAGGTCAACAGAAACAAAAGAAGATAACATCATGCTGATATGATAGGTGTTTGTGCACGTCCCCACTGGTCAGTCTTTAATTCAAGGGGTGATGTTTGCGGAGTTGATGAGTGAAGCCAACGCCTGCGGCTTTGAGAGTTTGAGATACCGGTGCTTTGGCACTTGGCACTACATTCAGGATCTTCGTCACAATCATGATTTTGTGTTCTGAACTCAGCTTTCTTGTTTTTTTTTTCCGCAGCATCTGATTTTTATTCACGGAGTGAAGATGCAAGGCTGTCAGCAGTGAGAGCCAACGGAGCCTCCTTGGCTCATGCAGGACTGCACAGAAAAGTAGACAACTTGTGCTTCGTAGATGCCACATTTGGAAGTAATTACTCATAGAACCAGGCTAGGATCTCTACCAGGATTGTTGTTGCTCCTTTCTGTGCTCACACACGAGTCACTTCCTGTCATCACCAGTCACAACATCGCACCACCAGACATGTACGTGTGAACCAATGCGTCAGCAACCACTCGCCCAATGACATGTCCGGAATGCGAAGTATTTGACTGCTTTGTGAGACGCTTACATTTGCAGCTCAATGACTGTATGCTTCGTTATATGATTATATAAATAGACTGAACACGAATTCCGTATCCCAACAATTCGGCCATGGAGCTCCAAGAGTTCGCAAGAGTTCTTGAGGATCAACACTCCTTTCATTCCAAGCGCCAGGAAATGAAATGCGCAGCAACCGTGAGATCGTCTTAGCTGCTGTGAGGAGGCTGGGGTTTGGGGTGCTGCTGCGATCGGTATCGGTAGCTCTTTGCAGCACTTGTCGAGTCTTGTCGAGTCTTGTCGAGGGATGGTGTGGCATTGGCCTATGCTTCAGAAGAATTGCGAGGGGATGCCGAAGTCCTGGCTGCAGCAGTGTGGAAACCCGGTTAGTCCGAAAGCAGGGTACCCTACCGGGTACCCCAAAATCTGCTGGCTTGCCATCATTTTCCTTATTACAATTGGCAATTTGGGCACATCCCACATTTTTGGGCACGCCTGGCTAGACTCTGCAACACTTCGACACATGTCTAGCATTGAGCCCAGAGCATTAGGCTTGGAAGTAGAAACCCGGCAGCAGAGCAGAGCTCTCTAAATTTCCATGCGTTTCCAATACCGAATCAGATCAAGTGGCAAACGAGTACCTTGCACATCAAGTACCAGAGTGTCCCCGCCGTTCACAAGCAGACGACATAGGACTACTTCGAAATCATCGACCATGTGTTCGTCCAGTTGTCTTTGGGTAATCCTGCTAGCCCAGCCGTATCTGAATGTTGAGGCTGCAAGTGATGCATCATCGCTGCAATACGCCTCAGAAACCATGCGGAATGAGCCGGGGACTAAGCGCGGCCGAGTCTTTGACACATCAAAGAGATGTCAGATGTTATAGATTTTTCAGAAGTGCTACCCAACAGGTATGAGAATCCTCTCGGCAGCATGAGGACACGATCTTACTATTCATCCTCAGACATTCTCATTCTTCTTTCATTTTGACTTTCTTCTGATGTGATTCTGATTCTGATTTCATCAATTTTCATCTTGTTCCTTGGCAATCCTGGGATATTTCAGGATTTCCTGATTTGTTTTTCGTCCAGGACTGGTGCTCCAGGGTCAGCTTTGCGGCACATCGGAGAGCAGCTGCAGCGCTTTGTGTCGCCAATTCGACCGCGAATTCAGTAGCTTTGACATGCTTTGACTGCTTTCACTCCATGGGCAACGAAGAGCGAAGATCGGGGACTGGTGGGAGCCAAGGAGCTATAGATAGTATGGGGGTCCATCAATGCCACAAAATAAAAGGTCTTTAAATGGGAAGCCAAGGAGCTACATACTAGAGTTTCCAACCATGTGGTAGTTATCAAGGGAAGGATTTTAACAAATTTTAACTGTAAAGAAAAGTCACACTGAACTTGTTTGGCATTTGCGGCATGTTTGGATATGTTTGGCGGTCTTCAAGTCGCGTGGAGTCCATGTTAAGTGTTCCAATGTCCCATCTGCAATGTTATTGGCAAGCAGCTGAGAATCTTCACTGTTTGTCCTGCAAAAAACAGCACATTGTTTTGGAATCCAAAAAGCATAAAAAAGGTGCTGCCGCTGCCTGCATTTTTGGGGCACATTGCATAATCATGATGCGTGCGCTGTGCGCCACGTCTATTCACTTGTCGTGTTCGCGCGGTTTAAGTATGTTGAAGTTCGATTGCTTGGTCTTGCAAGTGGGTTCAAGAGACGAGAGCACATTTGACTGCGATAGTTGGTCCGGCGCTTCACACAGATCCTGAAGGATCCTGAAAGATTGAAAGCTTTGACGATACCACCATCTCGGGCGCTGTACAGCCGCGGTGGCAGATGCATTCGCCGGAGTCGAAATCGATGTCCGAGGCCGGGGACCAAAATGAAGTAAACAGTAGCAACGTTGCTCACGTGCGAGCAGTGTGTAGGTCTCTTGGGGGTACAACTTCATTTCCAAAGCAGTGACTGCGCTTGGCCCCAAGAATCACGAGAGCTTCAGAGCACAATGCGACTGTGCCTTTTCAATTCGACCAAAATCTAAGGTCAGTGGTTGCAGATTCAATTGCCTTGTCCCTGGTTATCAGAACTCTCAAGTGTTCATGGCTTTATTTGAACGTCATCTCCTTTTGCGAGCTTTAAGTTCATGCGCAGCCAATCCTGCAGGCGATTTACATTTTGCTCGCCAGCTTCCCAACAAGTTGTGATGCTTCTTTCCACCTCAAGGCATTCTCACAGAATGAAAACAGCTGTGCACCTGGATAAAACCTATGCAATCCCTCATTAATCCTGACTATGCCCGGGATTACAGCACTATAGGCTGAACTTGATGGCCAGGCTTGGCTATTGGGATGTCTATGCTTGAGCTGGCCAGCTACTGCGGCCTCAGCCACTTTGTCGGAAAACATCGTTTTGGATGTCTTGGATGTCTTGGCACCACCTTCAGCGACTAAGAGATGCTCAGAGATGCTCAGAGATGGTGTCCTTTGACAATATTTGACAATGAAGAAAGGTCTTATGTGAGCTGGTCTTGCCGCAACTCTGTGTAGTTGAGATTATTCACGTATGTAATGTAGATATTATTTTATATTATTATATATATATACCTAAAGATCCCAAAACCTATGAAAACGTAGGTCATGCTGAAAAACCAGGTTTTTTTGAAAAAAACCAGGTTTTTCATTTTCAGCAGTTTGCAATGATCCACTGAGTTGTTGTCATGCCCTTCGTGAAATGATGTAGTCAGAATTTTGACAAGGTATAGTTGTAAACATTCACATGTCCGTGAACAATAATGTTCATATCGTTACTTTACTATATATATACATCATTGAAACATGTCTCCATGCCAGCATTCACACCTTCATCCTCGTCACAATACGACCTGCACACCCACGTGCGCAAATCACCGACCATGACCTTTTCGCAAGCATCCAGCTGCACTTCCCCTGCAGCATGCTGATCAATCCTTGATGAAACCGTGCTCGCGCCAATGCGCAAAGCAAGATTGTAAAAGTCTTTCAAGGGTACGTACAATTACTTGAGGACCCCCACATTTGCGTGAAACCCTACTGGCCCTTCCCACCCAGTCCTCACTAATTTGAACTGAATGGTTGAGGGGATTCAAAAAAAAATCCACATCAGAACACCTGAGGTCATTTCGTAAATCATTAAAGATATGGTCCATGGAATGCCCTTTGGGCATCAACGGGAAAAGGGCCCTGTTGGCCCTGAAACTGTTTGTAGCCAACTGTCGGTACCCATGGAGAAACCTCAAGCCACCGTGCGCAACCTCTTCTGCGTCTTTTCTATTGAGCCACACGTCACATTGGTACATCTTGCCAAGGCAACGGTTGATTGTTCTGCAGACATCCAGAGCAAGGATTATAAGGTCATCGTCCTCAAATTCCTGTTGCGTGGCCCAGTCTTCAAAGAAACGGCACAGGGCCGTAGAGAGACTTCCCTTGGACCACTGTCCGTTGGGGTACGTGCCTTTGTCAGGCCACCCCAAAATCGATTGAGATATGGTATGGAGGTATGCATACTCTTTGTTTTCCTCGCACCACGTGATCCAGAGTCCTGACAGCTGTTCCATACGCCCATCGATGTTACCACTCCACATGTACTCGCTTGCCATTGCAAGGCAACCTGCTGCCAGCGACTTGGCAACCCCCAAGTGGAAGGAATGAAAGAGATCAAATGTGTAGAAGGCGGCCCTTTCATTTGGAATGTAGGGGATGCGGTTCAAAGCTGGGCTCCCAAAGAAAGGGTCCTCTGCATTCTGCGTGGCCCACCACAACGGGAATCCGTCTGCTTTGTAGCACTCCCAGGGTACATCTCGCTGTCCAGCCCGGCATCTGTGGCATATCCCTTTTGGGATGGAACTGGCTGTCCACGGCCGCTTCTGGCAATTGCTGTAAGACCGGGACAACTGCCCCGCCTTCACCAGCCACTGCCAGTCCCCCACGATCTGTAGGACACAAGCAGTGTAGACGTTGCCCTGAGAATCTTTGACTCCTTGAAGCAGCATATCGCAAGCATCATTTGCCACATGGTCCAAAATTGAACGCAAGGCGCATTCATCCTTGAGCATCTTTGGCAGCACACTGGTTACCAAACGGTGTAGGTAAGTGTTGCCCCCATAGTTGAGACGAAACTGGTGGTAAGGCCGGTGAGTTCTCACCTCGTTGGCCTGCCTCGTTCCGTACCCCATGTAGGAGTAAAAGGACATGACCAGGAAGCCCGTTTTCTTCTTTCCTCTTCCTTCGTCCCCGTGCAACATCAAGGGACAACATCTTGACAGGTCTATTTTGTTTTGGTCTGCCAAGTTCCAGATGGCATGGTGAGGTTTCAGCGCCCTGTAGCGACGCCAGAATTCCACCAGAATATCACGTTCACGGGCCGCATCTGCTTTCCAAAGCCCGCAGAGCATGTGCCAAACATTGTAGTCAACAATGAATTGCATCCAAGCTTTCAAGCTCAACACTTTGATGGCGCCTGAGTACATCATGCCAGGGGCCTTTGGCAGCTCTGTCATCTGGATGGGGAGTGTCAACTTGTACTTCTTGGCGATAACTCTGTGGACATCACGCTCTGAATGTGTCTCACTGCACTTGGCCAGTTCCGGAAGTCCTGGTGACTTCTTAGCCACGCGCTCCCCTATGTCTGAGACAACACCCTTTGCAGTCCTGATAGCTGCACGGCATGATGTAGCCTCAGAGCCGGGAGCAATGTAAAAAGCAATCATGCAAAGCATTACAGAAAGTGTGCACAAAGAGCGGCTGTGATTTGGAGTGCGGTAGCAACCCATGCGCACAAAGCAAGTGGGCTTGACATTTTCCCCGGTCATGCGCGAAAGCTACTTGGCATACACGCAGACGTATCCCCCTTTCACATGCTGGCATGGGACATGTTCTTGCTCATATATATGCATGCATGCACATGCCTTTCATAAAGACACTTGTTTCTACCTTTTTGGGTATGTCTTAATTCGCAAACATTGTTCAGAAAGCAAGGCGTGTGCACATTGCGCATGCAAAGCTGGTAAACATAAGCACGACTATGCAGGTTTTTCTTTGAAAGACCTGTACACAACATAGCACATATAGACCTTCCAGTCGGAAGGTTCCAGGCTGACAGTTTCTCCACCAGATCGGACGTTCCGGCAGCCGGGCTTACCTTGGACATTCAAGAGGACCAGAGGAATACAATATAGGTGCAGTGAAATCTGTGAATCATTCAGGAAACAAATATGATCACATATATATATATATATAGGCAAGATACCACGATATTTTTCTATGAGGGCAGCTTCAAGCATGGATACGCTGAAGGGCTCTTCGGACATGTAGAGAACACACATGTTTGACCATTTATCCCTTGAGGAAGAATATCCCCAAATAGAATTGGACCACCGGTGGACAGCGTTGTGTGTATATCCTACTTTGAAGATACAGGGATAATGCCTGTTGAACATGCTTTCCATGCATCCAATAGCACGTTCAAGAACAACTCCCGAAGTTGAAGACATTGGGGGCAGTCGGAAATCTATGCAACCCATGGAAAGCGCTTCGAGCAGCACATCCTTGAGGCCGGGGACTGACCTTAAGCTGGGAGGGAGGCGTGTCAACCAGGAGTGGACCTTGTCAAGCGGAACCCCATGCTTGGGCAAAAGGACCATAGACTTTGCTGTTCCATTCTGACACCTTTTCTGAGATTGGGAGGTGTGTCCCTTGCCGGGGCTTGGCCACGGGTATGGGCCCTCAGATTCCTGAGTCAAATGGGCGATGGTGGAAATTGACACATGTGCGAAAAGAATACTATAATTATATAGAGAAGTTTGGGCATAGAACATGCGTTTGCCTAAAATTTGAAATGCAAGAGTCACAGCGGTGGCAGGTGAGCAAATCCCACAGTTCTTCTTCTGGTGTTTCATCACGACTCTCACCCATGGCTAACGCAGAAGATGGGCCCACGCGATGGATTGATGACATGTTTATCGCAATATAAAAAAGAAAAGTGTGCATTCATAAAGAAATTATAGAAAAACCAATTAAGCAATAGACTTTGAGTCAGTGCATGTTACCGTATACAATCAATGCAGGTGAGGTGTCCAGGTGATCCGATATCTTATGCATATATATTGTGCATATATGTATTGTGTGCGTGCCGCAGGTCACACATGTTTATTTAGCTGTGGGCCACAACTGTGATCAGCAAATCCGATATGCAGTGGCCAGCAACAGTTGCGACCGGCGCATTTCTGAGGTTGGAACACCCTGCCCGATATCTTTGGCAATCACTCGGAGACCTTGTCCGGCACCTGGCATGCGAGGGTAAAATTCTGATGGGAAATTGGATAACCAAAACTATATATATTTAAAAGGGCTTGCAGGTAGCATCGAGCACACTGCATTTTTTTCTTTTCACACTCCCCAAGTTTGCGGTCTTGACGCTAACATGTGAGAACTCAAATCAAAACACTGAAGTTCAGCGTTGAAACATCTGGGGTATCTAAGATTTGACAGTGTTTCTGAAACACCGTGCTCACACACTCCGTGTTGCAGGTTCTACCCTGTATGCATCAATACAGGCTTCCCGCAACTGACCCCCAAGTATAACCCCAAAGTCAAAAGTTTCGTGTGGGTCCCATGGGTCTCACTTCTTGGGACGTCGCTTCGGCTGCTTGGCGGCCGGCTCCCCCCCAGAAGTTTCCGGAGTTCTGCGCTTGGGCTTCTCCTCCTTTTCAGGTTTCTGATCCTTCTTCTCATATCGCTTTGCATTCCTGCGGCTTACCAAGACCCATGAGGACATATATAGGATTGGAACCATGGGCTGGCTATATCCCTGGAACATACGATTTGCTGAATGAACTGCGGCGCATTCTGAGGTCACAGCTGGATCTTCTTCTCAACTGCGCAGGCTTTTCCCGCCCTGGGCTGTCTGAGGGACTGCCAATGTGTATAGAAGCAAAACTTAAGTTCCAAGAGATGTCTTAGATCCTGTTTAAGTTGAACTGATTTTTTGTCATAAATCATATATCGATCCGATCCTTCGGAAGTCTGCACATATAGCAAAAGAAACAAAGAATGAGGCCCTGACACCATGGTGGCAGCCTTCATGCACTGCGTGGCTTTTTCCAAGAACCTGGATAAAGTTAAATACGCACAGAAGTTCCCAAACCCAAAGTTGAAGTCGAACTGCACTCTCACCAAGTGTTTTTCAAGGGGTTGTACTTCCAGTTTTGATGAGAAGGACTGGATTGTTTCTTGACAAGTCACTCCCCCTTCCACGCAGCAGCTTCCCCCGTGACGTACACTGCATGGCACTTGTCATACTCAACATCCATGTCCTTCAGGCCTTTCTGCAAAAGAGCGATGTACCTCAGGACAGGTACTCAGTGGAGGGGATGGCCATGTATGTTTTTGAAGGTCGGTTTTGATCAGACCCGTTTCCGTAAAAAAGATCGACATATAGTATATGAATAATATGATCAAGGCACTCGGCTGTGCTCTCTCCAGAAGAGTAGTTCTCTTTCAAGTCACGGGCAAGAGAGCGGAGCTTGCCAGATTTTTGGAGCAGGGACTCAAGGAAACGCTTCAGCTTGATTGCGGTCTGACATGGGACCAATAAAGGCAATTCCGAGACTAAGCTATCAACTTGATACTTGAGACATCATTCATATCTGTGCCTATACTTTGTATATAAGTGTTTCATGTATATATATATATATAGATCGTACTGAGCGAAAGGAAGGAATCAAAGTGGGGAATCATTGGAAACGACCCCACGGCAACACATTCACTCCCCCAGGCCTCTTGCTCCTGGGAGTTGCCAAGAGGGCAGCTGGAAGTTGGAGCGTCTTTCTCAGCCTTGAGCCTAGCTTCCATGTTCTCAACCCCAGCAAATGCATTGGCATCGATCTCAGGGTCTTTGCTGGCCTGCAAGTCAATGCGAGTGAACGTAATGAATATTGAATATATATTGGTTGGTTGGTTTGTTTGTCTCCCCTTTTTGGAATGATTCAGGTGAAAGCCACAAGAGTTTGGTTTATATATACTTGCCTTCCCCATCTTGCGATGGATTTCTTCCTGAGAAGACTGTTGTTCCCTTTTGTTCTGCTCTTTGACCACCACGAGGAACTCATCCGCACCGTCGTAAACGTTCTTCCTTCACCCATCAAACGATACTGTCATGGAGCCTATAGAGTCTGTACACTAAGTTTTTTGAGGAGAAGGATCCAACCAATAGCAACCAAGAAAAGAAGGAGACACGAGTTTGTTCTGTTACGCATACTGGGCTGGGAAACAACGGGCGAAAGTCTCCTGCAGTGAGTCGTTGGCATGGTTTCACATGCTTTCTTGGCGCCCTGAATCCTTGACCTTGTAGGACGAGCAAAAGGGTCTGGGTGGCTCATGTTTGTACAAGTTTTGTGATTGATGAGATGGCATATCTTAACTCATCTCAACCAATATAGCACTTATAATTTGGGTTAACCTTTTTTTAAACGAGGGACGTGGACCAACCGAGATCGTCCTTCATTTCTTTCTCTGAGCACCACTGTTCGTCCACCAAAACGGTCATGGCATTCTTTTTCTTGACAACTATCTCCAACTGAGAAATAAAGGCATCCTGCAGGGGGAAAAAAATCAATGATATTTGGCACCGTTTTTGCAAACAAATATGTTTTGACAACATAACTCGAGCATGTTGCTGGTCACCTGTCCTTATCCCAGTTAGCATTGATCAGGAGTTGCGCCATAGTGTTTTGATCTTTGGACCGCCACTGTTCCCGAACCCAATCTGGAACATTCAAAGCCGTCTTACTTTTGTGATTTGCCATCATCCTACGCAGCCTGGCTTTCGCCGCTTCCCTCATGAGGTCCTTGTGGCGCAGCTGGTACAAGATAAGGCACGTTTGTATTGGGTTGAAGGTATAGGTATATACATTTAACTATATATATATATAGTTATAAATTTATATGTTGATAAAAGACAAAATGAAATTTTCAAATATGTGCAGGATGAATCCACATAAGCACCCGCACATATCAAATCCCTATACACCACGGGTCCTTTCGGCTAGTTGGTTTCTTTGGCGGTCTGGCTCGGGTCTGTGGTGGAACTTCTCCAGCCTTAGTCGTGCCGTTGCTAGTGCATGAAGGTAACGATTTTAGTCACAGTATATACATATGCAAATATCGAAATGCCATTGTGGGACTGGGGTTCGAACTAACTGAGTTTTTTCCGGTTTGGAGTCAGCACTAGACGGACTAGACTCAGCAACCGCCTTCCTGGAAGCATCAGTAGCGATAGAAGTCTCAGAAGCCTTCCGACAAGCTATATAGAACAGAATTTGATTCCAAAAAATGAGAATATACTGCGTATAGATTTGGCGTTGCCCAGGCCTGTGGCTGATCCAACTGGCCCACCTTCTCTGCCGGCGAGGCAGCAGGGACCAAACGGCCAGCAGCCTTCAACTCCTCATCTGTTGCCTGGGGCATGGACAAGCAAGACAATTGTGAAGGGATGTAAAAATTTTGGAGATGGCCAGAAGTTCAAGGGCAATTATTATGATCATCTTTGAGAAATCGTTTCAGCCTATAATTATACAGCATATCCATTTCAGCTTTAAATCATTTCTTCCATTCTGTTTATCTTCAATGTTGCTTTTTGCACATTGTATGTCAAAAAAATTGAACGTGACTGTGCCCATCCCAATCCATAGGCGTGCCTTCTGCGTCTCAGCAGTTGCAGTCTCTGCGTCAGAAACCTGGGAATCAGTGGGAAAGTATCAGACATGGTGGGTGCTTAAGATGGAGAGTAAAGGGATATAGCTTGCATTCACAGTTTTAACAAACCCAAGCAGCCGGGAGGATCAATCAGTGCCAAGAAACCATCACGGGAGTTTCAGGAGCCTTTTGATCTTGGGAGTTTCGAGCTTGAAGGGCCTGTGCAACGATCATGGCTGATAAATGAGGGGTACATTTTCGAGCACCATATGGCTCTGGTGATAAAGAATCTTCCGTTTTTTGATTCGTGAATTGAACAGGTGCAATGAAAAGATCTAGGGTATAGACTTGATTTTGTGAAGGAGTTCAACATCAACACATGTATATAAACGATAAATAGTAAAACCCTTAAGTCCTTAATTGCCACTGGGCCTGAATCTGGACTTCAAGCTCACGTTCTTCCAGTTCAAGACGGTCAGCTTCGCTCATTACCTGATCCATTCCTTCCCCTAATGTGGTACAACTCCACACCCGGGAGGTTGTCAGCGCACCACTCGACATGCCACAGCGCAAGCTCTCCCAGGAAGTCCCTGTTTTAGCCAAATGCCATCAACCCTAGTTCATGCGTGTGCTGCAAATGCATTTTGTTTCGTAACTTGCATCATATGAAGCATGATAATTCAATGATCCGTAGCTTTCAAACCAATTTGCTTACCATTTTTTCTGTCACAGCTGCCATGAGGTATTCTGGCATGGCAAATTGTCCGCACTGAATTTGAAAAAAGGCCATCTTTGGCCAAAAGTTTTGCCTTCCAAATGGACCTCCGTAACCCATCTTTTTGCTACGGTTTGCTACGGGTTTCTATGGGTTTTCTACGGTTTGGCTACGGGTTAGAAAAACCAGGTTTTTTCCAGAAAACCAGGTTTTTACGGCTATCCACGGGTTTTCTACGGCTTACTACGGTTATTCTACGGGTTGTCACCCCATGACCATTTTTGGCATGATTTTTCATAAAAATGATCAAAAATGCTTACAAACTTGTTCAAGGAGAGGTTTCCGTACCAATAACTGTCCCAAAAAATAGTCAACATGGTTGTGATAATCCATAAAAATTGTCATTGCGTGGGGATCAGCATGGAAGTCAAATTTAAAAACCTTAGTTTTCCAGTTTGGGGGGTTATATATCCCATTTGTATATACGTAATATAGAAAGGCTTTCCCGCATTTCCACGCAATGCCAATTTTCTTTCACTGTGCCACAGAGGTTACTGTGAAGGCAAATAGGCTAACTCAAGGTCCTGGCTTTGGGATGAGATGGGCCCAATCATCAGGGATTACTAGGTGTCTCCCCCGTCTCAAGTAGTTGAAAACTTCCTGCAGCTTGGCATAGCCCAGGTCGAAGCCTTCCTCCGACATATGCTGGTACGACATCTGTGCAGGCGGCGGCCGGCATGAAAAGGGCAAATCCGGGATACCACATGCAGTGGCCGTCATGTCCTCCCAAAGATCGCATATGCAGCGCCCAAACTGCACCGTATATTCCCTTAGCTCCAACACCAATGCTGTAACCAATTCTATAGAAATATACTCAAACCAT